ATCTATCTATCTATCTATCTATCTATCTATCTATCTATCTATCTATCTCTATCTATCTATCTATCTATCTATCTATCTATCTATCTATCTATCATGTGTATGTCATGAATGTCACAGCATATGAAGAGAGGTTAAATGTCAATTTGTGGAAGTCAGTTTTGTCCTTAATGCCATGTAGGCTGAATTCAGGTCCTCAGGTTTGGTGACAAGTGCCTTTACCTGCTCATCCATCTCACCAGCCCAGCCCTGTAAATTCTCACACCGCACCTCAGACCTACTGAACCTGAGACTCTAGAGAGGGCCAAGGCACCAACACTGATCCAATCCAATACTCAGAAAGACCAAGCAGGAGGGTGCTGAGTTCAAGGTCAGCCTGGGCTACATGGTGAGATCTTGTCTCAAAAACACACAAACTAACAGACAAGGCATGCTCACTGTGCCTTTGCTCTATGCTCAAGTTTGGGAACCTGCATTCCTGCTTCCTGAAGATGGGCTGTGTTTTTGAGCCCTGGATGACCCCTGCCCTGATTTGGGAGAGGGGTTTATAGAAGAGGAACAAGAAGATTTCAAGTCTTCCAGTGAAGGCCTTCAGGGTTTATGCATTACTTACTAAACAGCCATGAAAGGAAGCGACCCCAAACTACACAAGCGCACCTTTCAAGCAGCTGAGATGCTTTGAGAGAGAGAGAGAGAGAGAGAGAGAGAAAGTACAGGAGGACCAGGAACAACTCAGTGAATGGAGAGGAGAGGGTCAAAAGCAGTGACGACCCTCTGAGTCCCTCTGGTGCCAGATGAGGTTGAAGCGGAGGCCGCTGCTTACCTCATTTTGTGTAGGATGAATTCTGTGATTCTCCCAATGCTGAGAAATATCAGGAAGGTTTTCCTGTTTGCTTTGTTGCTGTTCTTATTTTAGGCATACAGGAGCAGCAATTCATTCTAGGCTACATAGCATAAATTAAAAAATAAATCTCTCACAGGGAGATGAGCAGAACAGTGTCACAGAAGGGGCTGAGGAGGGGCACAGAGGCTGGTGAGAGTGCTGGGAATTAGCGAGAGAATGGTCCTCACCCTAACGATAAACCATGAAGAGAGTAAAGGTTTGTTAGCATAGCTCTTTTAATTTAAAAAATTAAAAATGATTTCAATATTTTATGTGTATTGCTGTTTTGCGTGATGTATGTCTATGTGTCACTTAAAATCTTTTTTGGAAGTTTAAGACAGGATTTTTCGTGTAGCTCTGGCTGTTCTGGAACTCTGTAGACCAGGTTGGCTTTGAACCCAGAGATCTACCTGCTTCTGCCTCCTGAAGGCTGGGATTAAAGCCCACTACCACTGGGCTTAAGATATTTTATTTTTTATGTATATGAGTGTTTTGTCTGCACGTATGTCTGTGAGCCATGAGTGCGCCTGGTGTCCACAGAGGCCAGAGGGAGCATCAGGTTCCCTGGAGATAGAGTTATGATTGGTTGTGAGCCACTATGTGGGTGCTAAGAATCAAACCTGGGTGCTCTGAAAGAGCAACAATGATTAACTGCCACCTCTCCAGCTCCAGTTCTTATTAGCTTTTAGTGTTTTTAACCAAGACAAGTGACAAGATTACTTCTTGTCACTAATTAGTTTTGACCAAATAACGAGACAGCAAAGATGGGGAGAATGTGTAGGCTTGGGATATAGCTCAGCAGTAGAGTCCTACCTGACATGCACACAGCCCGGCTCTATCCTCAGCATTTCAAAAGGAAAAAAAAAAAAAGACATCAAAACACTCACTTTTGCTGTGCAATAGTGGCTAACACCTTTACTCCTAGCACTTGGGAGGCAGAGGCAGAGGGATGTCTGTGAGTTCGAGGCCAGCCTGGACTACCGAATAAGTTCCAGGACAGCAAGGGCTAAAACAGAGAAACCCTGTCTCCAAAAACAAACAACAACAAAACGAAACAACACAAAACAAGAAAAGCCCGCCCAGCCGCTTTAATGAGGACAGAGGGGTGGCTCACTGTAGAAAGCTTACGCTTACTGGGCCTTTGTGATGCCCCCTCCCAGTCCCCACTACTTCCCCCAAAATAGCAACAAAAGGAGGGGGCACAAAGTGGGAAGAGGACATTTTAGAGGCTGTGTGTTGGAATGTAGAAAGGGAGAAATCGGGGTAGATATGATCAAGAGACATGGTGCATCTGTATGAAATTTTCAGAGACTAAATAAAGATATTATAAAAAACAAAAAACTTAACTTCCCGAAACAAGTAGGTAACAACAAACAGTTTGCCTTGCCCGAGTTCATTATTAGGCAAAGATCATGAAAGAGGGAAAGGCTCTCCGTGCTTTATTTTCATTGTTCTGCAAGTCTGAAGATAATTTATGTCTCTGCTGCTGTTTTACTAATAATCCCCAAGAGGCAAGCGCCTCTCAGCATCAACCCTGCGTGAAAAGGAGAAAACAAAAGTAGAAGTCAGCAAACACGCCTTCCGAAGCTGGATGACACCAGCCAATGAGCCCTCTCTGAGATGCTACAGGGTTTGTTTGGGGCGGGGTGTGTGTGTGTGTGTGTGTGTGTGTGTGTGTGTGTGTGTGCTGACATTTCACAATGGCCTGGAGCGCTTGTGAGATGCCAGCTCCATCAAAGATGTCACATTTTGAAATGACTTCTTATCTCCAAGCTATCAGCTGTTGGACTTGGGCAGACTCCAGATTCTTGCAGATTTGAGGTTTTTTTTTTTTTTTTTTTTTTTTTTTTTTCTTGTATCCAGGTGGTGAAGGAAAACCTGCATAATTTATAAGTTATTCTTCTTCTGGTTTTGAAGCCTGTTTGGTTGGAAGCCAGAAAGATAAATCTGAAATTTCAGCAGTCCCCAAGTTCTTACTGTGATGATGGAATTAGTGGCTGATGCTCTCTGGTGGGGCTCATACATGCTGATCCTAATGTCAGTGTCATTTGCCTGTGGCCCATCTGGTTGGGTAGTTGACATGGATTCCAGATGGGTCATAAACAGAGCAGCCTGTGACTGCCCATAGTCTTGTGGCTCAATCATCTGTCTCTCACAGCGTTTGTAATCCTCACCCTGAGAACTGTGCAGGAGTGTGGAACTTAGTAGAGTCAAATGGAATTCTTACAACAGGCCTGGACTAGCGGAGGTGGAGGACGGAGCTGCGCCTGATAGTGAGTGTCACGTGGACCTGGCACATCTACAGCTCTCACAGAAGTCACTACTGCCTCAAACAAAACACTTCTGCAGGGACACAGGATGCCTGTCCCACTTCTGTTCATCTATCCTTGGATAGAAGCCATGCTTGTGGTTAATCATCGTGACCAAGGACTACTGTCTCAAAAGCTCTGATGCTACTCTCTTTACTCTTGTCTGTCTGTGTGTGTGTGTTCACATGTGTAAGGCAGTGTTATCTATCACCATCGTCACCACCACCACCACCACCATCATCATCATCAGTTTAGGCAGGATTCCCTGCTAGCCTGACCCTTATCAAGTAGCTTGGGGTAGTTAGCCACTAAGCCCAAGGGATCGATTTGGTTTTGCTCCCTCAGCTCTGGACTTACAACACTTTCTTTCTTTCTCTTTTTCATAACATGACTTCTGGGGATGGAACTCTGGCCCTCGTACCCACTTTTCTGACTGAGCACTCTCCTCGGCTTTTTTACTTTAAAAGCTTCCCTTCCCCAGGCCTCTTCATATGGATGTTCATTTCACCAGCACCTGTGTCTTACCATAACGACGCTTCAGTATTCTATTCTCAAGTATCAGTGTCCTCTAGAGAAGCTTCACTGCTTATTTCTGTGGACAAACATCATAGATGGTCAAAGAAGAAACAGGAGGAGGGGCTGGAGGGGCTCAGTGTTTAGGGGTGCCAGCTGCCCTTCTGGGGGGACCTGAAGTTGGTTCCCAGAACTGAGGTCAGTGGCTCACAACCAGCTGTAAGCAGCAGCAGGAGAGCCAGCCTCCTCCTCCAGCCTCCAGGCACTTGCACACTTGTGGCACACTTGTGGCACACTTGTGGCACACTTGTGGCACACATGCGCACTCATGCACATAGCACAAATAAAAACAAAGGTTTCGAAAACAGCAGAAAGAAAATTCATTCCAAGTTGTTGTACACAATATACTCTTACAGTCCAAGGTGAAAGTGATATGGTTGGCCACAGTCCCAGAGCCTTGGCTAGACTTAGTGACATCAAAGGATTTTTTTTTTTTTTACAGTAAAACTTTAGTTGATGATCTACGGTAGCAGCTTGTGTAAAGGAAGCACTTGTACACAACACTCTGGGGAAAGAAGGTCATGGCCTGGGCATTTCCTCCTGACAGGTGGACTCTGTGGTCACAGTCCTGTGGTCAGCACCTCCACAGTCACTGTGACACATGGACACCAGGACAGAAGGAACCACAGGCCCCCTGCAGGGGCCACGCCGTGATTCCATCCCCGCCCAAGCTGCCATATTGCCGTGTGCTTTTTTGATTTCAGGTGGTAGCCATCGACGTAGACATGGCCTTTTTTGAGCCTAAAATGCGGGAAATCCTTGAGCAAAACTGCACAGGAGACGAAGACTGCAATTTCTTTGACTGTTTCTCCAAGTGTGACTTTCGAGTGAACAGGTGCGGAGCCCAGCGTGTCAACAGCAACCTGCAGGTGAGCAGCGTGAGGGGCTGGCGGCTGCAGGTGGCAGCACGGCGCACGAGGCTGCTCTCTCCCCTGCAGCTCCTCTTGAGGCTGCTGGAGAGCTTGTTTGGGGGGCCAAGCAGGGGCCTGCAGCTACTCCATGCCCCCCGTGGCTGCAGGATGCACGTCCTTCTCCCTGGGGAATTGAGCAGGAGGCACTCGCCTAGCCAGCTGATCAGCCCCGGTGATCCGTGGAGAGGCTTGTTCTCAGCCAAACTGCCTCACACCTAAGCAGAGTCATTCTTCTGGCCTCCCCGTCAGTTCTCACACAGGGAGAAAGGATGCAAGCCAGAGTTGGGTCCACTGAGGCTGAGTACACAGGAGCCCACCGAGAGAGCAAGGCGGTCCTGAGAGAGGGGCCAGCAGGGGAGGTTGGCCATCATAGGCAGGGCCGGCGGCAGGGGCTCACAGGGAGGATGAAGGTGTGGGTCCTGGAGGTCAGGCCTGAGGAGATGAGCAGGACTGGCCTCTGGCTCATCAGCCCCAGCGCATTGGCAGGTAGGGAGACTCCAATCCCAGGCTGAGTTTCTCTCCCATTCCTTTTCTTCCACATCACCATCCTTACCAACCTCACCTGATCCTTCCAGGCTGGTGGGTGTGACCATGGGCCCCCAGGTGCCCAGCCAGCGAGGGCAGCCTGGAGGATGCCCACGCTGCTTAGCTCACTGCCACCTGCCACGGTCACTCTCTCTCCTGTCCCCGTGCCCTAGAGACTCTAATTCTGTCTCCAGCCCCTCCCCACCTACAGCTGCCCCTAGTCTATCCTCCCAAGGAGCTTTAAACCTCGGGGCTGATGGGAGTCCTGAGCTGAAGCACAGCAGATTAAGCAGGTGCGCAAGAAGGCACACCTGGGGCTTTCCTACCCTGAAGGAGAGCCCGGCAACAGAGCTGTCAAGCTGGTGGAGCTCACCCAGGCAAGGCAAAAGCCAGGCTGTCAGTACAGCATCTACACAGACTTCGGGTTGAGTGCCAGGGTCGTCAGGTATCTCCACTTCAAGAAGGCCCATCCGTGACATGGGCTTTCGGGGTGCCATCTCAGCCCCTTCTGTGTGGAGCTACCCCTGGATAGATCTGTGATTCCCCAGCCCTTGAGCCATGCAGACAAGATGGTTTTCACCCAGACCCTACCATCTCTGATGTCATCGACAAGTCTCTGCTTTCAGAGAAACCAAGAACTGGCAAAAATGGCTCTGTGGGTAAAGTCACTTGCCAGGCCCAACGTCTTGGTTTTGATTCCTGGAATTCACATGGTAGAGAGAACTGACTCCTGCAAGCTGTCCTCTGACCACACACACACACACACACACACACACACACACACACACACACGGCTCTTACAGATTCACTGAAAAGCCGGTGGAACCTTGAACCAAAGAAAACTGGTAGAACAGGTGTAGTGAGACACAGATGACAAAATCCAAAAGGCTGAAGAATTTAGGAAATTATCTCATCTCGTCACTTAGAGACATAATTAAAATTATGCTAACTAACACTCAACAATGATATGCTTTTGCCAGTTGGGACTAGTCCTTAAAATGCTATTAATTAACAGGTGATGCTCTAGGGAGTTAGGTGAATGTTTCCTTAGAGTGATGTGACGTTCTGGCTTTGCAGCGGATGTGGACACACTCATCCCTGTGCCTGACTCTTTACTGACCTTGAATACAGCTCCAGAAGGGAACACGAGCTTTGTTTGTGATGTAGTATAATGCACTAAATGAAAAAGGTCAGGTTGTAAGCCAGCTTTGTAGTATGAGTTCACCTTTACTAGATAAAGACAGATGCACTCATACTAGTTGGCTTCCGTCGCTGTGACAAGATGCCTGATACAAACAGCTTAAGTGAAGAAAATTTCCCTTGGGTCATGATTGCAGAGGTTTCGGTCTGTGGTCAGCTGGCTCCTTTTGGGGAGAGACGGGGCGTAGCTTCCTGGCTGGGGCACGCGGCGAAGAAGAGCTGTTTACTGCATGGTGGCAGGGAAGCAAGGCCAGAGAGGAAAAGACTCCATCCCTGCCTCCCTTGCAAGGCACACGCCAAAGCCCTGGCTCACTCCCAGGTCTTAATGCCCCCACCGTGTCCTCACAGCACCGTTAGGTGGCTTGCTAGGCCTTCGGCACACAGGCCTTTGAGGCACCGTTAAGGTGGAATCATTACCTGATGAAGTCCGCTGCTGTCTCCAAGAGCATTTGGCGGAGCCATGGCCTCAAGCAGAGCCTGTGCTGGGCTTGTTCCTCACCAGCTCCTGCCTGTGCCTCTGCTAGAGAGGAACAAGCCAGGCAGGGTACATCCTCCTAGACATTTACATTTTTGCATAGGAAACTGGTAATCTCTAGTCAAAAGAAGTATTCTTTTAAAGTATTATCTTTGCAAGTAGCGGAGATGGAGGTGAAAGGTGCTCCTTGCCGATGAGGGAGTTTGGTGAGTGAGGCTAACAGAAGGCCTGAGGAAAGCCAGGCGGGAGCTGTTGTCTGGGCACTCCCGGGAAGTGCTCATGAGCCTGGGGACCTGAAGCCGGGGAGCAAACGCTGTGTGAGTGCCTGGGAACAGCTCCTCGGGCCTGTGCTGCTCCCAGTGCTGGTGCAGCCGAGGGTGCCCTGCTTCGCAGCACTGACCTGTCGCCTTCCCCTCAGGTCATCTGTGAGAAGATATTCCGGCACTGGTTCTCCCCCGGGAGCCCCGAAGTGTCCCCCCAGCTCCGGCTGCAGCTGCAGCAGGCCACGGAGGAGTGTGCGCGCCCCGGGGGCAGCTCCGGGGGGTCCCGGCCGTCGCCCCAAGTGCTCCCCAGGCTGCGGTGGCTGCTGCAGGCCGCCCTCAGGGAGCTGCAGGAGGCGGCCGAGTAGCCGTGGTCCTCGAGGGGACAGCAGCGACCCTCAGGCCAGTTCTTCTGCCCGAGCCATGCACGGGAGCTTCCACTTCTGGCGTAGGAAGCAGCGTGCACCTGGCCTCCCACCTGCGGCTGTGACTGGCCCTGCCCTGCTCCCCTTCGGCCGTGTTCGTGCTCTCCGCTGTCCCGGTACTCTTCACTTGACTTGTGGACGTGCCAGGGTGGAGTCCCCGAAGAGCACACACACACCTTGTCAGCAGAGATGGGGGCCACTGCGTTTCCCCGAGAGCCGTTAGCGAGCGGAAGGATGAGTGTGGGCGCACAGAGGAGATGCTCCCAGATCAGTGTGTGCGTGGGTGTATGCCCACAGGCGTGTGAGCGCATTTGTGTATACGGATGTGTATTGTATATACATGAGTATGGTGTGTTTGTAAATTCGCGTGGGCTTGTGTATGTACATGGTGGGGTTGCACAGATTCTCGGAATTAGGGTGTTCCTGAATGCGTGTGTGTGTGTGTGTGTGTGTGTGTGTGTGTGTGTGTGTGTGCTCGCTCGCATGAACCCGTCATCGCGCCTGTGAGTCTGTGAGCATACCCAGGGTGCACTCACGTGTGAATGCCGAGGTTGCGTGTGCCTGTCAGGGTGGAGGCTGTGTGGCGCGGTGGCTGTTCCGTGAGTGCGCCCCGGACGCTTGCGTAGCCGGCGGAAGTGTGATTTTCCTCCCGGGGAGTGTGGAGCAGCAGCCTCTAGTGCTTTGCATGTTGTGGGATTTCATGGAGCGCTTCGCCGAGCACGCTGTTCCTTCTGCGTGGCACCGCGTGTCTGCAGGGTGCGGCGTCTCAACCACAGGGACGGTGTAAGCGGAGAGCTGGTGGGCTCTGACTTCGGACCTCCGGGGAGCAGCTCGTGTGTGCCGCACTGTGGCACTGTGGGCACAGGCCACACGGGCGCCGTGGGCTCCCTGTGGTCTCCCGGCGAAGGTGGCCCGCAGACTTGCACAGGGCTAGGCAGGCTCTGCAGGGCTCCGGCGGAGGAGGCTGGGACCAGCAGGCGGACACTCGGCCACCGTCCTTCCGCCAGAGCTCAGTGCGCCCACACCGCACCAGTCAGGGCACTCGAGAACGATGTGATGCCTTGAGGGTGTGGAAGGTGAGCCAGAGGCTTACAGGGAGGGAAAGACAAAGGTTGAGGTCTGAGGAGTGTAGGGAACGACGGACACCTCACCTTTCTCTTCACGAGCCACGTTCCCCGCCCACAGCACCCACCCTCTGACCCCCGGGTGTGCTCCTGGGAGCTTCGGGCAGTGGCACGAGAGGACAGACGACAGTCGGAGGGCACACCAGCCCTGACACTCAGACCTCAAGGCTTTTTGGAGGGGCAGGTCCCCTGCCTTTCCCACCCCCTCATCCCAGCCCCAGCAGTTTGCCAGGCAAAGCGGGCTTTCTTAAAGAGTGCTCTCTGTGCTGCACCCGAAGGCCTGCTTTCCGGTTCTGCTCCTCGACGGGAGCCCGTGTGGGTCACTCGGCAGAAGTCAGCCAGTCGCCAAGCAGGTGCCCAGGTCTGGGCTGGCAGGGCGTCACAGCTGGTAATGCCCCGTGGCCTGCAGAGCGGGGCTCCCGCTTTCCAGGCTGAGGCAGCTGCCTCTCCTGGGCCTGTTCCACAGCAGTGGAAGAGTCACAGGAGGAAGATGGTGTGAGACAGCCTGGACGGCAGAGAGGCGCTCCGGGCTTCCCCTGGGGGCCTTGATGCTTGTGACCACTGCTCTGCCTCTGCCCTGGGAGTCAGGTGGCAGGCCTTTCTAGTGGCCCCAGACGGCTGCAGCTGCTAGTAGTTCTCATTTAACTCCAAACGGAAATACATGTGCAATATGTAATCACCCGGCACGGTAGCATCCCTTTCTGCTGGTTTTTGGCTACCCATTTACACACCACACACTCCCTGACTGAAGACTCCTTTTAAGGCAGTGGTTCTTAAAGTGTGGTGAAATTCTTTTGTTTGTTTATTTGTTTAAACTTTTCAGAACACTGCCTTTTATATAATAAACAAATATGGCATTATCAGTGTTTCCGCTTTTGTTTGTTTTGTTTTGGGAGGCTTGGGGTTGGGTAAACAGCCTTGGGCAAGCTAGGCCAGCACCATGTCACTGAGCTACGAACCCAGGGCCATATTTAAATTTGATTTTTCCAAGACAGGGTTTCTCTGTGGCCCCAGCGGTCCTGGAACTCACTCTGTCTCCTCCTGAGTGCTGGGACTAAAGGTGTGTGCTGCCACACCTGACTCATACTTAACACTTCTAACGGGACAAGCGAGAGTGGTTGTGCTAACACAGCTGAGCAACTGTACTCATGAGGAGAAACGCTGTCTCAGTTACACTCACCACACACAAAACACGGTCTTTACCTTACTCGGGCGCAGCAGGGTGTGCCTGTAATCCCACTCAGGGAGGCAGAGGCAGGCGGATTTCTGTGAGTTCGAGGCCAGTCTGGTCTAGTCTACAAAGCTACAAAGCAATTCCAGTACAGCCAAGGCTACACAGAGAAATCCTGTTGCTATAAACCAACCACCACCACCAGCAATAACAACAAACCCCAAACAAACAAAAATAACAAAAAACTTAACCAATCAAACAAACAAGCAAAAAGACCCTATAAAAAACACAAACAAACAAAAAAAAACCCAAAAACCAAAACCCAAAACAAACACACCCAAAAACAACCCACCCAAAAACCTCATTAAAACTGGGTTTGTGTTTTTTTAACCAGGGGTGAGCGTGAGCACAGTCCCCTCTACCACAGATTATGGAGTTTTCTGTATCTGGGAAAATCTCGGAAAACGCACATGCAGAGTGTAATGGATAAGCCTCGCCCTGGAAAAACCGCTTTCATGACCATGTGTCTCCCCTGCCAGAATTGGCTTGTCTTGCTCTGAGCCTTCCGGTCACAGGCCAGTTTTCAGAGATTATCCTGGTTAGCGCTATCATGACCTTTTGATAAAAGGATGTGCAGCCTGTTGATGTATGGCTGACACCTACCCACAGGCTTCCGGTTCTCTTGCACAAGCGACACAATGATTCCTGGATCCCTGAGCTGGTCATTGAGTGGGGTCACGTGATCATGAAAGCACAAACACTGCTGACATTGCTGAGCTCTCAACTCACATAAACGGAGGCGCCAACAGTGTGTGGGCTGGCCTCCTAGCTGTGCTCCTCCTCCTCCGAGCTGTCCTCCTCCTAGCTGTCCTTTTCTTAGCTGTCCTCCTCCTAGCTGTCCTCCTCTTAGCTGTCCTCCTGCTAGCTGTCCTCCTCCTAGCTGTCTTCTTCCTCCTAGGTGTCCTCCTCCTCCTAGTGTCCTCCTCCTCCTTCTAGGTGTCCTCCTCCTCCTAGCTGTCCTCCTTCTCTGAGCTGGCTGTCATACAGGAAAGCTACAGGAGGCCTGGGGATCGGGAGGGAGGGATGCATAGACAGGGAGAAGGAGAGGAGAAAGGATCTCATGTCTGTCAAGGGCAAGCACTCAGAGGTTTCTCCCTGATGGTTCCCACCTGCTGCTGGCACTGTCTGTTCTTCCTACCTGATAATCAAGCCTTTAGCACCTGAGCATTGGGGGACATTCCAGATCTGAGCATCAAAGGCAGCTTTGATGGCTCAGTTTTGAAAAGATGTAATAGAGGGCTGTCTGCATCCTTGCCTTGCTTGTCTGATCTGCAATTTTGGGTAAGTGAACATGCTTCCAAATAATTGTCCCACCCTTCGGATCTGAGGTCCACCTGGAAGACACTTAACAGCTGACAGTCGCCTTGGTCCTGCTCCCTGACCTGCTCAGGGGTGTGTCTTTTACTCTAACAAGTGCTGAGGCTTAGCATCATTAGAACAGAAGAGCTGGCAGGATGGCTCAGCTGGTGAAGGCACATGTTGCCAAACCTGCCCACAGGTTTTGATCCCAGGAACCCATGAGAACTCACTCCTGAGGCAGAAACTCATCCAGACCACAAACTACTCTGCAACAGTGTGAAAGTGGGATTGAGGTATTTCTCCTGAAAGGTCTCTCACTATGAGTTTGTTGTTTATTTGCTTCATTGATTTCACACCCAGAAATAAGACAACTTGCATCTTATAAGATCTGGAGAGACAGCTCAGTAGTTAAGAGTACCGGTTGCTCCTGCAGAGGACCTGGGTTAAGTCTACCCACATGGCAGCTCATAACCACCTGTAACTCCAGTTCCGAGGGACGCTGTTAGGCCCAGCAAGAGCCTAACTTCTGGTGAGACAGATTAAGGGAACTCGGAGACTGAATTGATGCAAACAAAAGAGGTTTATTCAAGCCATCTCATGATGGGGCTGCCCTCCAAACCATGGAGGAACAGCACCAAGAGACAAAAGCCTGGGGTTTTTAAAGGAAAAAGCGCAGGAAGCTGGGGTGTGTGTGTATGTGTGTGTGTGTGTGTGTGTGTGTGTGTGTGTGCTTGGCAGTTTAGGATTGGGTGAAGGCCTATAGGGTGGTTGACATTTAAAATGATTGGTTCATTTTAGGTGCCCAAGTCCAGTCAGTCTGCCCAGGACATCTGGACCAGTTGCCAGGCAACTCTATCTCTACTGCATTTCTGGACATTCTTCTGCAGCGGGGTGGAGACCTTTGGCATTCCTTTGCAACAGGGTGGGCCTTGTCTCAATTCGCCCGCTTCTCCTTTCTCCTTCTGCTTTCTGGAAAAGTACTGGGGGAACTTAGTTTAATATGGGGTATAGAATTCATAAAGAAACCTATAAATTTAACTTGTTCTTTTCAACGTGATGCTCTGTTCTAGCCCCCATGTTCATTGGAAACTACATGGGGCAACACATACATGCAGGCACACGCCACACATAAAACAAAAAGAAAGAAAATATTTTTAAAGGATCATGTACATGCACTTTAAATTTTATTTTACATGTATATGCCTGTGCACACGTGTGTGTGTGTGTGTGTGTGTGTGTGTGTGTGTGTGATAGCCCACATGTGGTGTTCACTTGCCGTATCAGAAAAGAACTTGTCAGTTCTGTCCTCCCACCATGGTTCCAGGGATTATAGGCAGGAGGGCAGGCTTGGTAGTGTTAGGTCCAAAGGAAATTACATTTCCATAGA